TCCAGCAGCGCGGAGGGCTAATACCAGCACAGGGTTGAAGCAGTAATGCAACTGACGAAACCTTAATGGGTCTGCAGTATAATTAAGGGGTTTTTAATCTATCAATTCATAGAGAATGATAATTCGAGGCTTCTTTAAAATATTAAGCACTGCGTAATTGCTAAGCAAGCACATTAGAGTTGATATATATTGTACATGCTTTTGAAGGAGTGTTGGTGTTTTATTAAAGAGTTTAGAAGTTAAATTGTCTTCCTCCGTTCCTCTTTTTCTGTGTAAAAACACCCCTCCCCAGTAAGAGCAATTATTACTGCCTGGTTGTACATTTCAACCAAACGAAACTAGCGATTCAACTAAAATGATTTGTAGTGCGTCCAGCTACAGGTGAACAGCTCAACCCATAGTCACCCAGAAGCGGCCGGCACGCGACAGTACGACAATACTCGGAATTGAACTTCTAAGAGGGATTGTACTTTCTGGAAGAAGAAGCGCACATTAACTCAAACATGATAAAAACAATAGTGGACAATTGACATGTACGTGGAACCATTACATGTATGTTTGCTGCCACCAAGCATCTCAAAAGTCTACCATTGAATTTGCACAGATTATTTTTAAAACTTTGCAATGTTATTACACATGTTAAGAGTCCTTAATTAATCAACACAGAATACAATAGGGCCTAATTAAACAGAGATACCTTTACACCCACTTGAAACGCTGAAAACATAAATGTACAGGGATGAGATTACCAAGCCAATTAGAACAAGAGGGCTGAAACTTAGATGAAAGATAAATTGTATTTCAGACAAAAGTCTGTAAAATCTCTTCTATGAATGTTCATGATTAGTTTGAGAGGAAGCTCTTGCCAACCAACCACTTTTGCATTAATGCAACTTATCTAAGTACTTTTATCATGATGTTTCAATTGTTAATTGCAGGTTTCAAAGTGAACAAGAAAAAAACTAAAGAAAACAGCTGTCCCAAGCCAGTTTGCATGGAGTAAAGTAGAACCCTCTTCACCAGCACTGTCAAGAGAAAAACGACTGAAGGAACGGAATGAAAAGAGAAGGCTTGAGAAAGAAGAAGTGAAACAGGATGAATGCAGAAAAGGGGAATCAGCTGAGAATGATGCCGTCGTGCAAGATCTTAATCTTGCCATGCAGGTTGACATCGAGAGTGTTCCAGTCATTCAGGAGGTACACATTCAAACTGATCCCCTGCCCAACTATTCTACGTGCACTTCCGAAACACAGACAGAGTCTAATCGTGGGTTTACGATAGAGGATTTCAAGACTGATTCAGCAGGAGTGCATTATTACACAGGTCTTCAAGATTACCTCACATTTTCTGATGTTTTAGCTTCATTGGGGCCGAGTGCATTTAAGTTGACATACTTACACGGTGTACGACCCAGCATCTGTGTACCAGATCAGTTTTTTCTAACTGTTATAAAATGCAGAAGATACACGCCAAACTTTGAACTAAGTCGTATGTTCAAAATAAGTGAGTCAGAAGTTTACTGTATCTTTGTAACCTGGATGAGATTTATGAGTCTTCAGTGGAGAGAGGTGGATATATGGCCCAGCAGAGACTGTGTTAGTTTTTATGCTCCATCAGATTTTAAGAGGAACTTCCCCACTACACGGACTATCCTTGATGGGTTTGAATTTCCTGTAAAGAAACCCAAAGCTCCCACTGCTCAGCAAGTCACCTTTTCTACATACAAAAATCGCAATACAGCAAAGTCAGTTGTTGGAGTGACCCCAGGGGGTCTTGTCAGTTATATGTCTTGTGCTTATGGAGGTTCAACTAGCGACCGACAAATAGCAGAACGCAGTGGACTGACTAGGAGAACAGATCCAGGAGACGCCATCATGGTAGACAAGGGATTTGATATCCAGGACATTTTTGCACCAGTAGATGTCACCATAAACATCCCAACATTCTTCAGGAAGAAGAATAGAATGTCAGGAAAGAGTGTTTTAAGGGATAGGAAAATTTCCAGTAAGCGAGTCCATGTTGAGAGAATTATTGGTCTTGGCAAAACGTACAAAATTCTCACACAGCCACTCAATCAGACAGAGATGACTCTAGCATCTAACATCGCATTCGTTTGTTTCATGCTGCTTAACTTCAGAAAATGCATCATTCCAAGCAGTGCCTAAGGAGGTTTTCCTCAGTAGATTTTGGTAGTCGTACCACCATGGCATCCGCATTTCTCTAATTGGGCGATTCCATGAAAAAGGGGACATGGTTGTAAAATGGAAATTTACTTATATCTTCAGAACTACAAACATCACAACAACAAGTGTGGTATTAAATTAATGGGGACAACAAGATCTTTCATTTGAGTGGCATGCCAGTGGGATGGAATGTAGTTCAGTGTGATTTTTGTCCAAACAATTGTTTTGGGGCTAAAATGGTGGATTTTTGTGGTCATTTTTGCACCTTGTTTTAACATATGAAACACGCATGTTTAATATTGTGATTTTTTTATTTTAAGTCAGAGAGAAAGCTAGTAGGTGAGTTTTACCAAGACAAATCGCAATTATTCCAACCTAATTTTCCATTGGCAGTGTAGCAAACATTGATGTTTCACAGAGTGTAACGTTTGTCACGGAAATTGTAACGTCCGTCACAGGCTTAAATGGCGGATTTCTTCTAAAACCATGTGATTTTAAAAATTTAATATTTTGTGCAGGCTACCTCAGACCAGCACACACTGATGGAAATACTAGGATTTTTCGCAAGTGTGTAAAATTCACAGGGATTTGAACTGAGTGTCAAGAGTCAAAGGTGCTTGTCTTTTAAATGTAACATCCGTCACAAAAATGTTTTGAAGTTTAATGAAGGTTGACAGAAACTCAATATCTTGCGTTCCATGTAGTTAGTGACTTGTTGTGCTATCATACTGTAACTATTAACTATGGTTAAAAATATGCAAGACAAACTGTTGGCTATTTTCAGTGCGAATGTAACATTCGTCACAATTTGAAAATGAATGTAAATTTTGAAGTGGTTTTTAAATGCTGGCTGGGAACTCATTAATTTTGTCTTGTGCAGATTTAAGCTAGACTTTGCCCAAGTCTTTGTTTTGATGCCTTCAAGTAGAAAAAAGTCAAAATTTTACATTTTTCCCAACAATTGTGTTCATCATATTCACCTTGTGATATGTGATATGTGAAACACCCCTCTAGCCTTATTATTAATGGTATGAGTCTCATGTGTACAATACTAAAATCCTCAAATGTATGGAAATTGGCATGTGTGAAATGAAATGTTGATTCTATGGAATACGGACTCATTGATTGTATTGCGCATGTCTATGTCATGTGACGATGAATACTGCCTTGTATGATTGTTAGAGTTGATAAAACAGGAGTCAAAATTTCTTATAAAATTATGAAGGTGTTTAAAACAAGTTGGTACCTTTATCATCTTTTGACCAATAGAATTGGTAAACTGTCTGAGGTATTTATGACTAGACTTTATACAAATCTGACATGCTGACAAAAAAACAAGGAGTTTCTGACTTTGAAATACATTAAAATTTATTATAATTTACTATGCACACGTTAGAAGAACATAAGTTATTGACATACCTATTTTTTCATTAAATAAAAATACTAACTTTGTATCCCAGAGCATCTAATGTACATACATGTATGTATGTATTGAACTATAATTTATTGTGCACACATGGCAGAAGAAAAAAGTTAGTGACATAGAGATATTTTTTCACCAAATAGAAACACTGTAAGTCTGTATTCCAGAGCATACATATGTATGTATTGCATTATAATTTATTTTGCACAGGTTCGAAGAAAATAAGTTATTGACATACACAATTTTTTATTAAATAAAAACACTAAGTTTGTATCTCAGAGCATCTAATGTACATATGTATACATGTATTGAATTATAGTTTATTGAGCACACGTGGCAGAAGAAAAAAGTTATTGACATACATATTTTTAAATTAAATATAAACACTGTAGGTTTGTATTCCAGAGCATACATATGTATGTATTGCATTATAATTTATTGTGCACAGGTTCGAAGAAAAAAAGGTATTGACATACATAATATTATTTTAAATAAAAACACTAAGTTTGTACCCCAGAGCATCTAATGTACATATGTATGTATTGAATTATAATTTATTGTGCACACATGGCAGGAGAAAAAGTTATCAACATAAGATATAGTTTTTCACCAAATAGAAACACTGTAAGTTTGTACCCAGAGCATCTAATGTACATGTACATGTATTGCAACAGTTTTGTGAGCTAAAACATGTCACTAGTCAAGTTGACATACATTTCGTAAATAATTTTCAATATATTTATCTTCTATTAATTTCTAGTTAATAGGGCCCTTTGCAGACGATTCATGTACATGTATCTACAGGGTTCCTGGCCATGCTGGAAATCAGGGAAAACCTGGAAAATGAGTTTCCCTTTTTCCAGATAGGGAATTTGAGAAAAAATGCCTAAAATCAGGGAAAGGTCAGGGAATTTGATTGGCCCAAAATAGAAAGTGGTCAGTTTGTTATATTATGTCTCATGTCCAAACAGCCAATCCACTGAATGATTGGCTATGGTGGCTTTTTGGTGTGGAAATAGGTCAAAATAAGTATTCTAGAATTGTGAAAATTCATCAGATAAAACACAGGGGAAAATCAGGGAATTTTGTTTTCATGAAATGCTAGGAACCCTGACTTATAACAGGCCATCAAAGGCATTTACATATATAGAATGTTTGATGCCATGCACTTTAGATAAAATATAATACTGTTACATGTACATGACAGTTATATATCAAACACTAAAAAAGGGATGGTCTCAAAAGCTTTCCATTGAATCCAAGTAAAAGAAAAACAGTTCTTGCGTTTGGTCTGGTTAACGAATTTTGTTTGTCATTAGCAGAGAATAAATGAAAGTGTGACAACTACAGTACATGTACATGTATGTCCACTCCATGACTAAAACATTTGAAGCTCAAGAAACCAGGACTTCTTTTCTGTGATGTTTTCTTTTGCCTTTGTCTTGGGAAAAGTCATACTTGTCAGTAACTCTGTACAGAAAAGTTTCAAGCAATGCTGCCTTGAAAAACTGTTCGAAGAAATCCCGGAGTCTGATTTTGAGTTCGTTTATAAACTCATCATCTCGGGGGATGTGCATGATCTTCATATCTTTCGTTGTCCACACAACAAAATCACACCATTTCCTTTTTGTACACAACAAATTCCCCTGTACCTGGTAATAATAGTTGTGACTGTGTTTTAATGCCATTTTTCCAGAGCTGTCCATAAATAAATAGGGCACACTTGTTGGAGTTACTGCACTGTCTTTACATGTGTAAGGACACTTCACTTCAATAATCCTATCATCATCAACAAGGCCATCTGGTGAACATGCCAAATATGGGATTTCCATGCACACATGGATTCCACAACTTTTCACCAAATTACCTGTCTTACTGCTGTAAGCCTCCACAGCTACAGATTCATACTTCAGCCCATGATCTGTGGGTTTACTGGAAAACTCTGAGATAGTTGTCAATGACCTAGCCATTTTTTCAAAGTCTGTTCTAACCCCTGACTTACATATTCGGCCAAAGTTGGAGGCATGAAGTCGTTTTCTTCTTTCTTCCTTCCAAAACTTGTTTGTGCTTTGTCCCCTTGTAGCTTCTTCAACCTGTTCTAGATCGTTCTCTGTGATGTTGGTAACATTAAGACTCTTAAGAAAGTATTCTTCATGAGTTAGTTCCAGGTAATCATGATCATGAGTCACTGCAAAGATATTTGCAGGTGCATATAACTGCCGAATTGGCAGATCTTTTGCTTGTGAATTTATCCACACATTTCTGAAGTGATCATGATACTCTCGTGTATTTCTATATTGAGCAGGTCTTGGGTCAAAATTATTAAGTCGTTGAAGCCCCTCAGATTTACGAAGTTTAATTTGAGACATCTGCAAAGGGGAGCCATCATATTTCTTGCTCTGATGATGGGTTTGCAGGACTTCTGTACAAGTTTGCATTGTCAAAACCCCTTCTTTTTGTTTAGTAAGGGCAAACAGAGCCAGACCGACATGCTTACAGTGAGCATTAGGGCCAATACCAACAGAACACTCACACTGAGTTTCCTGCACTACCCCATACTTGTCTAACTTTACATCTACTTTGTATACCAACTTCTTCTTCATTTCTGCTGCAACTCTAGCTGCTATGTATATATGGTCACCCTCGCTGCTGTGACGCAATGAGAGAAGAAGCCTGTCCCGATACATCGCCTCTGGCTTGCCATCTTCAGACTTCCCAAACTGTTGTATGAAGGCCTTCAGGGTGTCATTTGTTACATGTGGAATCTAAATAAAAGAAGAAAATCCTTAGTAACTTGTGAAAATGTCATCCAAACATATCCAAATTCACTGACACAGTGCTTTTGGGGGTGGGTATAATAATAGCGAGAGTCCTGTAGCCTGTTGAACAGGTACATGTATGCAAGAAAGAAAGAAAAACAAACCCTTGCAAACTCTTTTGAGCTATTCATTTATGTACATAATGATGAATGGGACCAACAATGTCTGAAAGACTCCCAGAAATGTCTCTTGCTAAAATAGTATCTTGGCTGAGTTTGAATTACCTAGACTCAATTGTATGCAAGACTCTGTGGAGACATCAGCAGACCTGAGAAAGTAATTTGATTTCATAGTGGATAGATCACTATGATAATTTCCGAAATTCAAGTGACCTACACACAAGAGCACACATACATGTACATGCACAGCAGGCAAAAACTCTGACACATGGCTACCCAGCACATTTCCTGCTGTGATTTTCATTTTTATCTGTTGATTAAATAAGTCTACTAACCTGGCTGTCTCTATTTACGTCCTTGTATGTTGACAAGTTGGGCATAGAAAAAGTATACACCTCCTCGGACTCCTCCAAATCACATCCTTGGCCGAAATTAAAATTTCTGTCGTAGCACTCAAGTCTGAAAATAAGAACAAATTTAAGAACATTTTAGAGACTCTAAATATTACTAGGCTCTAGCCTATCTAGGTCTGTGTTATAAAAAAACGCAGTGGCTATAGTTACGGTACCCATAACGCAACCCTCAACGGCTATCATTACGGAAGCTGTCTAGTTTCCCAACGTACTGGTATTCAACATCACAATGTTTGCTTTTGGGAACCAGACTATCAACCAAATGGTTCTCGGACTTTATTCCCCTTAAAAAACAAAACCGAAACCACAGAAGTTAGGGAAGAAAATTGAATCTACTTAAATAAAAATCATCATTTGATCAACAACTTACACTTATGAAATCTTTTTGAAAAAAAAAGAGGGAAAAAATTGTCAAAGGCACACCTTGGTCTTCTACCAACCGAGCTATCGACACACTCGAGCAAAATGGGGAGTTGTAGGCTAGGCCTAATTTATACGTTCGCCTTGTTTTTTTACAATGCTGTACCGATAGCATTTTTGAAGGCTGCGTTATGTTTACCGTTTACCGTAACTATAGCCACTAGGCCTACGTATAAAAAAAAATAATGGAATTGATTTTTTAAAAAAATCCAAGAGCGCTTTAACATAAAAATATTGGCAAAGTAAATACATGCATTATAAATTGCAATTGACAGGGGAACATGTAGACCGGCCGTTTATGCCATGGGCGGAGAAAATCGTACCGCTGTACTTCACACAAAGTTGCAGTGCATGGAGCGACCGACCGCCATGTTTACCGGCCACCACGCAAGCCTGAGCCTGCCGCGCCGGCGGTGGCCATTTCGGACAATCACGCTCACAAAATTGACCTTCGACTTTGACGGTCTACTCAGGACCTTCTGATGGGCCATTATTTCTTCAAAATAACTAGGGCCTAATTTTCTTTGTACGTGCGCTCGAAAGACTTTAAATGTCAAAAGAAATGGTAGGCCTAGCTGACAATAACTGTTGACAAAATAGGAAGCGCTATCTGCACTAGTAAGTAGTATAAAGCCAAGGTTAACAAAGGCTAAGCCTGGCCTAACGTTAGTCCTCGACTTACCTCTCGACGAGTTCCTTTTTTCTGCCAGATGTTTTGGCGTTTCGCCTCCTTAGTTCCTCCTTCAAGAGAGCTATTGTCATAGATCCATAGGCACGGGCTGCACCCTGCATATTTATATATTGGTACGAACCTCGTTAATAAGAGGCTAAATAAAATACTCGAGCAAGATTAGCGCAGCTGCGCCAGCGGCTGATTATTGCAATGAAACTGCAACATTTTCTTCCTCGCGCCAAAAATTGCCTGGGACCGCTATGTTTGCTGCCCTCTACGACACTGTCCGTCAAAAGTCTCCCATTCATTTGCTGCAAAGCGCGGCCACTGCGTGTACATAGAACAAACCCAGCCTCGACTCCAGGGGCGCGTGCTCGTTCCTTACACTAACCCCTGGCTGTGATGATGACGTAAATGACGCTGAATGGCTATTCACAGCGTACTGCGCGGGCATTTCGAAGATTGCACACCGGGTGCGCCCAAAATGCGCTCGCGTGCTTAGCTTTGCACGTAACGTCACGTACGAACAAAAAGTATGATTCAAAAGTCGCGATGCCTGTACGATATGGATTATGTCAGCCGCGTTTTTCGCTAAAAAAACCCCTGTATCTGTGGTTGTGAAAGGCACGAAAGGGGTACGTACATGAAATACAACGGTTAACAATTAACACAACGGCCAAACGTTGTGTTTGCAAGGATTGATTCTCCCAAATCACAACTTTTAACAATTTAAAGATGGCGTCGGCACGTAAAACGATAAACTGCAGCCCTAATTATAATATACTGTATTTTGGTATATTTAAATTACACAATTCCAGTGGTATGATCGCGCAAGGCATGATGGGAAACAACATGGCGCTGCAAGATCGTACCCACGGGGCACGAGGTTGGAACAAACCCCTGGTGTACGCGCGTCAAAAACAAGGAACGGTGCGCGTCAATAAGCGAAATGTCCCGTCCATTGGACGTCGTTGCTAGGTAAAAGGGCACGGAGCTCATACTGCCTCAGAATATACTGCTTTTTTGCAGCTTTTTCGAGAACCGCTCTTCCAAACCACTTCAAACTTGACACTGCACATTCTGTTGTCCTGAGCAACCCACCCACCGATTTTCAACTTCATATGGTGTCCGGTTCTTGAGATAATCGACGTACAGACAGACAGACGGACAGACACACACACAAAGATATATTCCTGGAATTTTAGTAAAGACTAGTGCAGTGCCTGTCTAAAATGAGCATGTTCGGGAAGCGCAAATTGCTTAGCCGCTGGTATTGGTTGCATGCTTGCGATTCAATGTTGTCGTTTTCACTGGTTGAACGCACACTAACGTCAAAGTTTGTACTAAGTTTAAAGTTGTTTGGGCGAGTGGTTCTCAAAAAAGCTGCAAAAAATGGCGAAGATATTCACCCGTACTGAACAATGGTATCACATTGCAGCTCCATCGACCGGCTACAGTGGTGAACGTGGTTGCTCAGGCGACTGCAAAATGAAAATGCCTGTGCAGTCACTGCAGTCACGTATGCTGTTTTTTTCCGGAAATCACAACAAAACATTTTTTTGGGTAAGATTCAATTATAACTTGACTGTAACTCCTTGTGGTTTGTGTTTCAGTTTAATTATTTATTGGTATCCATATATATAAATAAAAAAAAAAATGCGGGCCCCTCCCCCTCTCCGAATTGTCCCCCTGGGATGCCCCCCAGTTGCCCTGTCTGCTTCAATGCTCATATCCCTCCCTCCCTTCCCCCTCCTCGTCTGTATCTATTATCATTTCTTCACCATTCTATACACACACACAAAACATTAAATTGTTGGTTTTTGTTTTTCTGTGTGCGGCAGCAACCGTGTATGTTGGCTCAGTTTTTAGTTACAATTCGTCACCGACACCACGTAACACTCTACCGTGTTAAACGAATTTTTTTTCGATTTTCAGTTGTTCGAATTTTTAAACATTATTCATCAAGGCCTACCATTGCACGAAGTTTCAAAGCGTCAAGAACTTTACTTTAATAATTACGCTAAGTATCCAAGGCAACTTTTGCGCAAAAGTGACAATTTTCGTTTTCACGAAGAAACACTCAAGTTCCATTTACCATTGCAATGCAAGGCGCACACTCTGCTCATATTTGAGCAAAAACGTTTTCATGAAGTAACACTCTTCTTGTAATAAGTTGTATGAGCGCGCGCGCGCTGACCTGAAGTTGCACTTTCCTCGTGCTGTATACATTGAAGATTGTTACTTTGTGAAAACGAAAATTTACAGTTTAGCAGCTTTTTCGGTTCCACGAACTAACACTCATAATTTTTCTCTTATTTCTTGTTTATTTTATACACAAACGGGTGAAAAACAGCAGATTTAATAAATTCAATTCATCAAGTGTCCACAACGAGAAACCCAACTAGAAATACTCTGTCATTTTGACGCAAAGTGTTGTTTTAGAAGGCGTTCAACTTTAGACGCCGTTTTCTCCGATTGCTAGTTTTTACCGGTATGTACATGAGTGTTACTTCGTGGTGTCGGTGACGAATTGTTCATTTTTTTTTAAACTTCATAGAGACTTAATGTAAGCATAATAAACCAATGTACATGTATGTTTATTTCTAAGAGCCTTTCCATTTATCCTAATAGTGAAAAAGAAATTTGATATTAATATACGTTTCGTCATTGAAATCATTTTGTTTTACCGTGTTAAGCCATAATATATCAGTAATCACTATTCTTTACAGATAGGCTGATGTTTATTCGTACAAAGTTAATTCGATATTAAGTTTAATCCCATTGCTTAGAAAGCGTTGAAGGTTCATAAAACAAACTTAAGAAAATTAAGTCATACTTATGACTTGTATCTCATAAGTGTGACATATTATTAAGTTATTACTTATATGTTATAATAATAACTTAGTTTTAAGTCATTATTATAATGTATCCTAAGTCATAATTAGGACTTCACACTAAGTTGTAATTAAAAGATATGTCATAACCATGACTTAATAATAAGTCATAATCATGAATTTTTCTTAGTTTGTCTTATGTTTCTTTAACGCTTCCTTACATTGCTGTGTTGACTGCCAGATAAAAAAAAACACACAAACAACTTTGGAAAAGTGGGAACGTATACCTGATCTATGCAAGAAAAGTCCTTCAGGCTAGGGTAGCAATGATAACAAAATTGTACCAATTATACGTTGCAGAGCTGACATACCGACGAATCCATCATTTGGGCGATTTTTAGGGTGTATAAAGGTTGCTCTTTAAAGTATTTATGCCAAAATTCTTAATTCTTGTCTGAATTTTGAGATTTGAAGCCCCCCACCTTGTGGCGAGTCAGTCACAAAAAAATCCATAATTAGTGACATAGTGAAAAAGGCGGAATTTCGCTGTTAATCAGCTTATGAAAGGTGTGCGTCCAAAATACCAACGAATATTATTCGTCAGTTTCTCAGATTGTGCACGCGTGCACAGGCAATCCGACTGACTGACGAATAACATACAACTATTTCGCTGGTAACCACCTTATGTAAGGTGCACATCTTACATAAGCTGGTTACCAGCGAAATATTCTGTGCGTTCAGAGTACTAACGAATGTGTTTCGTCAGTTTGTCTGATCTAGGTCAAACAGGGCTCTGTGCATTACACGGCCACTGACTCATGAGAGAAGTTTGTATATCACCAACTTTGTAAAGAGAATATTAAGTGGTTTTTAAAGCTACAGTCCTTCATTTGCAGCTATCCAAAAAGTAACTGACGTAGGTATCGTTGGAAAAACATATTTTGATGAAAGATAGTAAGGGAACTAAATTCCCTATGAAATTATTATTTCTGGCGAGCTGTCATTTTGAAGAAATCAACAAACAGAAGGCCTTTTTGTAAGTAATTCGGGTTTTTTTCCCCGGCGAGAATTAGAAACACGCGCAAGCACGACACATACGACACACATTCGCGCGCGGCTGCTGCGTGGCCACTTATCAAAATTGAAAATCCCAAGATTCATCCAGTAAAAATCCAAGAAATTCCAAGGTAATGGAAAACAGTGTACAAAATTCAAAATGTATTTCAACAGAGCAAGCAATAGCCTAAAATTATATAGAAATTTGATATTTTTACCACCAAAAATTCGAAGTTCTTGGGTGAAATCCCAAGGAGTGGCAAAAAAAAATTATTATTACAAAAAAAAAAAAAAATACTGTGCCCGTAATGACGTTTACAAAGGAAATGCAGTCATGGCATGCATGCATCGTAGCGCAGAATCCGCAGATTCCAACGCCAGATTGTTTGCGGTTTACATTATTATGCCAACATTATAAATGTTACTCGCGAATTACAAAAAAAAAAATTAAATCTGGAGATATGGTGACATCTTTATAAAAATTCCCAAGTTCCCAAGGTTTTGTCCAAATCTCAAGGAGTGGTGGCCACGTCGTCGGATCGCGCGACATCGACATCGCGCAGCTGCAAGCTGAATTTAGACCCAATTGAAAACACAATTCAGCCACTTTTGATTTGAAATCGAAATCCTAGAATGTTGTTTTTCTCGGAATATACCGCTTGAAGCTGAGCTGAAACTTCATTAGGTTAGTTGTTCAGCACCCTTCTTTAGATTATGAGAACGTTTGCTTTCAACGAATAAAATGCACAACTTACAAATGTCGGACTATATCTTTGAATTGCTAAATGGTATGAATATCATCGCTCTGCAAAACCTGGATACTTCCAATTGGAAAAGTCGAGCTTTTGCCTTGCGATAATTAATACTCCACCCATACACCCTTCTTTAGATTATGAGAACGTTTGCTTCAAACGAATAAAATGAACACATTACAAATGATGGACTATATCTTTGATTTTCAAAATGGTAGGAATATCATCACTCGGCAATATCTGGATATTTCCAGTTCGAAAAGTCCAGCTTTTGCCTTGCAATAATTAATATTCCACAAATATTACTCTGATAGTTTTTGTCTACTATTTTCCTCTTCCTCCCTTCCCCGTCCTCGTCTGCTTCTATTTTGATTTGACACTCATCCCCTCATCCTCTTTCTCTTCCTCTTTAACTTCCTCCCCTTCCTCTTCCGCTTTCTCTGTCTGATTTGGCTCAATTGAAGTGTCTTCTAGCAG